TATATATATATATGTATATATGTATATATATATATATATATATATGTATATATGTATATATATATATGTATATATGTATATATATATATATATATGTATATATGTATATATATATATATGTATATATATATATGTATATAGTAGACTTGTACTACTATTCCCACTTCGCGGTTCTTCACTTTTTATCACGGGGCTTCAGGGTACAGATCCCCCGCGATAAACGAGGGACTACTATAATCTCTAAAATCCCATTACCGTATTTTTCATACTATAAGGTGCATTAAGCAAAACGAAACAGTCAGATAAGTCAAACTTTATTCAACTCATTCTCAATAACCACATAAAATGTGTTCGAGTTCAGTAAGCACAACCAGAATTAATACATAAGGCGCACCTGATTATAAGACTCGCTGTCGATTTTTGAGAAAATTAAAGGATTTTAAGTGTGCTTTATAGTCCGAAAAATACGGTATATTAATAATAAATTTACGTTTAACGTTCTGAAAATTTCAAGAGTGAGTTTTTCCAAACTATTCCTTGAATTATAATTTTAAACAAATATCTTTACATCATGATATCAAACAATAACTCATCTGAAGTCTGATCAAACCTCTTGCTCGTCATGTATCAAACCCTACCTTGACACCATTATCAAAGACCTCCTGCCAGACTACGTAGCCTTTGTTGGTAGAGGAGACAATATCCACCAGGCTGAGAATAAAAAGGCAAAAAAATTAAATAATTTCTTTTTGACTGAGAATCCTGACTTCAATAAGAAACCCACCCCTGGATGTAAAAGGACTCCAGTTTGGTGTAGTCTTGTCCGAAGCCCTGCTGAGCCATGAACTTCTGAATGTCTGGGTTGGACCTCCTGTGGAGCAGAAGCTGCTGATAACATCGGTCTGATTTTAAGTTGAGGTACAGAACTGGTCCCAGTCTCACCAGCAGGTGAAGTCCACTTCATCACCTCCCAGGTGAACGTAGCCATCAGGGAACACGCTGCTGATCTCTTTGAAGAACGTTCTCATGAAGTCATAGGTGGTGTTCAGGATGGGGTTCACTGGTCCGAAAGTGCCGGAAGGCTGGGAGCCAGAGTAGCAGGGGGTCAGCAGATCAGGCTGTCCTGAGGCGGGAACACACGAGAGGATGTAGAAGTGTCATAAAGATGGTGCCCCTTAAACACATGAAGAACTCACCTTTACCCCAGGACTGTGTGTGTCCTGGAGTGTCAAACTCTGGGATGACCCGAATGCCTCTCTGTCGAGCAAACTCGATCACCATCTTCACATCCGAAGGTGTGTACACGTGACTGTAAGGGTGGTACGCCCCCTGAGAACATGTGGATGGATGAAACAGATCATTAAGAAAAGGAGACAGCATCTGTTTTTACTGCAAATTACACAATTCGGTTGTTTTCTGACCTTTTGGCTCAGCTGAGGAAACGTTTGGCTCAGGTACGGGAAGGACTGATCATCTACAATGTGCCAGTGGAACACATTGAATTTGTTCATGGCCATAGTCTCCTGGAAAACATAAAGAGGTAAAAATGCTTTAAATAAGGCCTAGCATTCCTTGAAGGACTGCATGTCACCTGACACCTTGCATGACAAAGTTTGACTTGTGTGTGTCACCTTCAGTCATGATGTTCTTAAAGTTCATACTCAAAAACGTAGACAACTTTGAAGCAATTTTATAAAAATAGTGATAAATTATATTCCTATCTTAAATGGTCTTACTCATTAAATTGGATTTTTATCATCTGTCTTATGCTTTACATCATTTCATTGTCTCATGTTATTTTATTTGTGGTATTTTGCGAATGACCATTTTTCTTTTCTTGATGGCTCCTTCTTCAGGGGTCGCCACAGTGAACTAACTCACACAAAGACAAACACTGGTTTTACACCAGATGTTCTTCCTGACACAACCACAGCCCTCTGTGTGGAGCAGAGAGCTGCTATGGGGCACCCAGGGGAGCAGATGGTGGGGGTTCAGGGCCTTGCTCAAGGGCCCAGAGTGGAGCAAATGAAGGTGGAGGCAGGTGTGGGTGCTTCACCTATCCCGCCCACATTTTGATGTTGTCGGTCCAGAGAGTTGAACCGGTGACCTTTGGATCATAGGCCCACCTTTTCTAGCCTCTGCGCCACCACTCCCTCCTATAACTATACAAATCTGTAAAAATGACTAAGATACGGATGTTTCTGTATTTGCTAAGGTAAAGTTCTATACATGTGGCGGCCATCTTGAACTGGGGCGACTCTAAAAGCTGTAGTTCTATTTCATCCCTCCTGACCGCCAGAGGGCGGTGCTGAAAGCACTGAATGTTCCCTTCGCGCATGCGCTGATTCGAGTAATAATACCAACGGAGTCACAGGTGTGACACGGATGACCAATCAAAGGCTATATAGCCCGACGTCATCCGCTGCTCTGCTCCTATTTTCTTCTCGCGCGCGGTTCAATTCAGGGCTTCAGCCCTTTGGACCTTTTCTGAACTTTTTACCGTCGTCGGAAGCCCGACTGCCCGTCTGCGGGAGTAGCGTGTTCACCCTCCTAGGGCTGCGACGGTTTAACCCTGTTCAAAGGTATTTCTGCTGTTTCGTTGGGAACTACGGCGGATTCCGCCTCTCCCAAATTACAGCGTCTGACTACTATGTGTGTGATTCAACACCGGTGAGTAGTTTTCCTTATATTTCGCCGTTGGTTAGCGGTAGCGTTTGCTCCGCTCACGCTTGTTGGGAGACCTCCAATCGCGTGGTCGGCTGGACTGTGCTCCGACGTTGTTTATGACTACTATGTGTGTGATTTAACACTGGTGAGTAGTGGTTCTTTGCTTATATTTTGCTATTGGTTAGCGGTAGCGTTCGCTCCGCTCCTGTTTACTGGAGGCCTCCAACCGCGTGGTCGGTTGGACCGTGCTCCGAAGTTTGTTTATTACGTAGCCAGCTGAGTTCCAGGCCTTGTTTTATTTGGTGAAGGCGAGTGTTCTCACCCCCTCAATTGTCCTCTTACCAGCTGAGCTAGCGGTGCTAGCCTCTCTGAGTTTTCACCTAGTTTTAATTGGTGAAGGCGAGTGTTCTTACCCCCTCTCCCAATTGTCCTCTCTTACCAGCTGAACTAGTGGTGCTAGCCTCTCTGAGTTTTCACCTTGTTTTAATTGGTTAAGGCGAGTGTTCTCACCCCCTCTCCCAATTGTCCTCTCTTACCAACTGAGCTAGTGGTGCTAGCCTCTCTGAGTTCTAACCTTGTTTTAATTGGTGAAGGCGAGTGTTTTCACCCCCTCTCCCAATTGTCCTCTTACCAGCTGAGCTAGTGGTGCTAGCCTCTGAGTTCTAACCTGGTTTTCATTGGTGAAGGCGAGTGTTCTCACCCCCTCTCCCAATTGTCCTCTTACCAGCTGAGCTAGTGGTGTTAGCCTCTGAGTTCTAACCTTGTTTTCATTGGTAAAGGCGAGTGTTCTCACCCCCTCTCCCAATTGTCCTCTTACCAGCTGAGCTAGTGGTGCTAGCCTCTCTGAGTTTTCACTTTGTTTTAATTGGTGAAGGCGAGTGTTCTCACCCCCTCTCCCAATTGTCCTCGCTTACCAGCTGAACTAGTGGTGCTAGCTTCTCTGAGTTCTAACCTTGTTTTCATTGGTGAAGGCGAGCGTTCGCGCCCCCTCTCCCAATTGTCCTCTTACCAGCTGAGCTAGTGGTGCTAGCCTCTCTGAGTTCTAACCTTGTTTTAATTGGGGAAGGCGAGTGTTCTCACCCCCTCTCCCAATTGTCCTCTTACCAGCTGAGCTAGCGGTGCTAGCCTCTCTGAGTTTTGGCCTTGTTTTGATTGGTGAAGGTGAGCGTTCGCGCCCCCTCTCCCAATTGTCCTCTTTTACCAGCTGAGCTAGTGGTGCTAGCCTCTCTGAATATCTTGGGCATAGCTGGGTAAGGAGCATGGACGGCTCTCACTGCTGTACAGTCTGTGGAGCCATGCTCCAGACAGATGACGGTCACGACCTGTGTCCTGCCTGCCTTGGACATGACCATCTGGTGGATGCCCTGTCAGAGAACCCCTGCATGAATTGCAGCTTCATGTCGCATGCTGTGAGGGTGGCCCGGCTGGCCCAGTTTCGCCCCAAACTCGGCGATGACCTCCCGCCTTCTGGGCAGGAGGCTCCACCTAGGCGCTCGAAGCGCCGGACTGAGGCCGCAGTCTCTGTGGCCCCTCCTGGGAAGAAGCGAGCCAGGTCTGATAGGGGCCTCTCCACAAGGGTGGAGCAGCTCTCCGCTGAATTAGCGGAGATGAAGTCCCTTTTTCAGGTACGCCAACTGGGAACTGAACCAGTGACAGCAACTGGACTCTCCTCCCCACCCATGCCTGAACTGGCTGTGGAGGAAGATGTGCTATCCTTGGCTGCCTCTGCCTCTCACTTTTTAGGTGAGGAGGACAGTCATTCATCTCGAGTCTCAGAGACAGCTTCACTCTCTTCTTCTCGGAGTGCAGTTAGTGGGTCGGGTGACGGCTCGATGCAGGACGTCATGCGTATGGCCCTGAGACAACTGCAGCTGGACGTCCCGCAACCAGAGGCGTCCACCCTTGGAAGTGCCTTCTTCAGGCGCAGACTGACCCCTCCTTCCTTTTCTGTCCCTCCATCAGAGGAGTTCCTGAGGGAGTTGCATGGTTGTTGGCGGGACCCCAAAGCATTTGCGCGCCTCTCTGCAGATGGCAGAGTGTTGGCGGCCATGAGACGGTGATGCCATCAGGCCGACCGTCTGATATTTCTCCCACCAGCAGCTCAGCTATTGGGTTGCTCACGCCGTGGACCCATGGGTGGTTGCCACTCTGACCCATGGTTACCGGCTACAGTTCCGACGGCGGCCTCGTATCTCATGCCGGGTCAAGATGACTGTAATCGCCGACCCGGTGAAAGCTCAAGCACTAGACCAGGAACTTTCCGCCCTCCTGGCCAAGGGCGCAATAGAGGCAGTGGACCCTCTGCAACAACCCAGGGGCTATTACTCAACTTACTTCCTTGTGCAAAAGAGGACGGGCGGGTTTCGTCCCATTTTAGACCTGAGGGGACTCAACCAGTACCTAAAGGAGCTGCCCTTCCACATGCTCACAACAGCAGAAGTCCTTCAAGCTGTCACGAGGGAAGAATGGTTCACGTCTGTAGACCTGAAGGATGCATATTTTCATGTGCCTATTGCGGCAGAACATCACCGCTTTCTCAGGTTTGCCTATCGGGGTCACCACTGGCAGTTCCGGGTACTCCCATTCGGGCTCTCTCTCTCCCCAAGGGTGTTCACTCGGTGCGTGAAGGCAGCCCTCTCTCCTCTGCAGGCCTGCGGAGTGAAGATTCTGCCGTACTTAGACGATTGGCTTCTCTTCGCCCCGTCTCAGGCCTGTGCCTTTCACGACGCAAACCGCCTGCTCGCTCATATGACCCAGTTGGGCCTCAATGTCAACCTGGAGAAGAGCTGCCTGATCCCTTCCCAGACGACCACCTTTCTTGGGGTGGTTCTGGATTCATCTTCCATGAGAGCTCGCCCATCCGCTCAAAGGGTGGCCGGCATACTCCAGCTGGTCAATCGGTTCAGGCTGGGCAGGCAGCTCCCCTATGTTGCCTTCCTGCAACTACTCGGCAAGCTGACATCAGTCACTCGGGTGGTGCCCTTAGGCCTGCTGTCACTTCGCCCCTTGCAGAGGTGGCTCAACAGCTTTCGCCTGGATGCCAGGCTGCACAGGCATCGCAAGCTCACAGTGACGTGGTCATGTCTTCATGCCTTGACTCCATGGAGGGACGAAGATTATTTGTCCAGGGGTGTCCCCATGGGAGTGGTAGTGTGTCGCAGAGAAGTGGTCACGACAGATGCCAGCTCCATGGGATGGGGTTGTATGGCAACGCAGAGCAGTTCAGGGCCGCTGGGGTCAAAGAGACCATTCCAAGCATATAAATGTGCTGGAGCTGCGTGCAGTGCACTTGGCACTCAGGCACTTCCTGCCTCACCTGGAGGGGAGGCATGTACTTGTTCGGTCAGACAACACCTCTGTTGTCTACTACATCAACCATCAGGGGGGCACCAGGTCAGCACAACTTCTGAGAGTGTCCAGAGAGCTCCTGGAATGGGCCTCTCCTCGCCTGTCCACCCTGCGGGCAGCGTACTTGCCAGGGCGACACAATCAGGTCGCAGATTTTCTCTCCCGCCAAGAATCCCCTCCGGGAGAGTGGTCCCTCCACAGAGACATAGTGCTGATGATCTGGGACCGTTTTGGTCAGGCAGAGATAGACCTGTTTGCGACGGAAGTGTCGACTCAGTGTCCCCTATGGTACTCTCTTACGGGGGCGTCGGGTGCGCTAGGCCAGGACGCATTGGCTCATCCTTGGCCAAGGGTCCTTCTATATGCCTTTCCACCCCTTTCTCTAATTTGCCAACCCTTCAGAGAGTCCTTGAGGAGGGCCACAGGATGCTGCTGGTGGCTCCATATTGGGCAGCGCGACCATGGTTCCCACTGCTACGAAGTCTATGTCAGGGCGTCCCATGGTGTCTTCCGACCAGAAGGGACTTGCTGTCTCAGTTGGGGGGACTGATATGGCACCCCAATCCTCAACGTCTTTGGCTGTGGGTGTGGCCACTGCAAGGCTAGGACAGCAGCTGACTGGAGTTTCGAGCCCTGTCAGACGCACCATCCTGGGCGCCAGGGCACCCTCTACTCGTCAGCAGTACGAAAACAGGTGGCGCCTGTTTTCCCAATGGTGTTCTGATCACAACAAGGATCCAGTCTCCTGTACAATACACACCATTCTGGAGTTTCTCCAGTCTCTACTTGGTAAGGGTCGCTGTCCTTCGACGCTTAAGGTTTATGTAGCGGCAATATCATCTAATCACGCTGGCATTGATGGCTGTACGGTAGGGAGCCATAATCTAGTCTCTCTTTTTCTGCGTGGTGCCCGTAGGTCACACCTGCCGACAGCTCCACGAGCACCAGGTTGGGACCTTCCCTTGGTTCTCGAAGCTCTGTGCTGTCCTCCTTTCGAGCCTCTGTCGCAGGCGGACCTCAAGTGGCTTTCATGTAAGACGGCTTTTTTGTTGGCTATTACCTCAGCAAAGAGGGTCAGCGAGCTACATGCTTTCTCAATCAGCCCCTCATGTCTCAGGTGGGGCCCTGAGGGCTCGTGTGTTACCTTGTGGCCAAACATTGCATTCGTACCAAAGGTGTTATCTCACTCTCACTCTAACCAACCGTTGAGGCTGGCACGTTTTCAGCCTGCGCCTGGTGAGGGGTCTGCATTATTGTGCCCGGTGAGGGCACTGGAGGCATACGTTGCAGCTACTGCCGTGATAAGACATTCAGACCAGCTGTTTGTGTGTTATGGAGGACCTAGGTTAGGCTGTCCTCTTTCCAAACAGCGCCTCTCCCACTGGATCGTGGATGTCATCTGCCACGCCTATGCTGCAGGGCCCGGCTCCCTGCCGGTCGGCTTGAAGGCTCACTCTACCAGGAGCGTCTCCGCTTCCTGGGCTGCCCTGAGAGGGGTTCCGCTGGAAGCAATATGTGCTGCTGCATCATGGGCTTCCCCAAGCACGTTCACCAGATTTTATAGAGTTAACGTGGCCACCCCTCATCCCCTGGGCCAGGTTCTTCTACAAGGGTCCTCTGGGCCTCCTCAGTGAGGTAGGTGTTTAGGATTCCTTGTGACATTGTTGGTATTAGTCATTCAGTGCTTTCAGCACCGCCCTCTGGCGGTCATCCGGGATTCATAGAACCGTAGTTACATACGTAACTTTCGATTTACAACCAATGATTATTTTTTATAGTTTCATTAAAATATGTCCAGTGGTTCATCAGATGTTTTGCTAACAGAAACAGACATGGTTTTACATTATCAACTTTTGTAACGGTGGACAATAGAAATTAAACCATAACATGTAAACTACAATTAAAAGTTTTATTTACCAAATTGGCCAAGATGACTTTAATGGGGAGGAAATGTCGTGAGGAGTCCAGCAGGATGCCTCGGTGAGAAAATCGTGGAAAGTCGCTGATAAATGTTGAGTTGATGTTTCTCTGAAAAGATACAGAATTAAAACCAGCTTAAACATGGCTGCAAAAAAAGTTAAAAATAAAAACACGTCTTGTACTTACAGCTCCATATACATCCTCAAACACCAGCTGGCTAAAGGTTTCCAAACCTAAAGAGGATCATAAAGGAAAAATCCTGAACACCAACTTAAAGTTTTTTTGAAATAATAATAAAAAGTAGGGGTGCACCAATAAATCAGCCCAGATTTCCTTAATTTTTGGAAATTGGCTGATACTTGCATGAGAAAGCGATTTTACAGATTTTTTTTAGTTTTAACAATTGTCTGAACTTCATTTATATTTCAGAGCATTACCTCATTACCAATTAAAACAAGTCTGTATTGTTTCTAGGATATTGTTCAAGGGGATATTTTTCAATAAAATAATATTGGAAAATTGAAGGTGCATTACAACACATGACAATGTCGCTTATAATATCAGCCAAAATCGGAACTGGCAGGTCAAACTTTTTAGAAATCGGCGATCGGCCAGAAAACTGTGATCGGTGCACCACTAATAAATAGTGACGTCTCAAATGAAAACTATGATGCTGGAACAAATCAACAGTTATAAATATCAAACTCCAAATTTTATTAGCAAAACTAATCTCAAATGGACATCACATTTATCACACATCAGCACAGTAAAGAAAAACTCCCACAGATAAACAGCTTTTTAAAATCAACTCAACACTATATTTTAATCCAAAAACGTTCAGTCTGGTCCTCTGGACATTCAAAAAAACAAAAAACAAAACAAAGCAAAAAAATATAGAAACATTTCGTCTCTCATCCGAGAGACTTCCTCAGTCTGAGGTGCTGTATTCAGCTCAGTCTCTTAAATAGCACCTTCTCAGAGTGGATCAACCAGTTTGCTGCTGACAACCAAAACCAGCTGCTCACATGATCAAGAAGGACCATCAGCCTAACAATGGATCATTAGCACACTGATGGCTGTTTACTATTCACAGAGGGCTGAGTGATACTAGCAATCACAGCATTGTAAGAGGGGGACAGTTGAAC